AGGCGGGGTCTGAGTCCCGGGGGCGGGGCTTTTGTTCCTGCTGGGCACCCACATACTGTCTGGGGGGTGGATCCTGAGTTATTGGTTGTCTCAGGGGATCAGCAGTGAGCCCGTGTCCAGGGATGCGTGGGAACCTGCCCAAGCCCACACGTGGAGGGGAACCAGCTCACTCCCCCCTTCCCCGCATGTGTGTTGCTGTGGGACATTACACAGAGAGGCGGGGCAGCTGCGAAGGGAACAGTCGGTGGCTTTGATCCTTTCTTGCTTTTGGTTATTCAGGTGTAAGACTGTAAGTCTACGTCTACCCTCGCGGCTTCTTGCGCAAGAACACGTCCATACTGCCATGTGCGAGCTGTGCTTTTGCGCAAGACCGCCCATGGAAGGCTGCATCTAGACTGGCATGATTTGCAGAAATACTTTTAACGGAAATTTTTTTCCGTTAAAAGTATTTCCGCAAAAGCGTGTCTAGATTGGCAAGTGCCTTTGCTTAAAATATTTGCTTTTACACAAAAGCATCCGTGGCCAGTCTAGACGCAATTTTGTGCAAGAAAGCCCCGATTGCCATTTTAGCCATCGGGGCTTTTTTGCGCAAAACAGTACTTCCCTGTCTACACTGGCCCTCTTGCTCAAGAGGGCTTTTTCCCGAGCGGGAGCATGAAAGCATTTATGAAAGAAGCACTGATTTTGTACATTACAAAGACAGTGCTCTTGTGCAAATTCAAGCAGCCAGTGTAGACAGCTGGCAAGTTTTTGCACAAAAGTGGCTGCTTTTGCGCAAAATCTTGCCAGTCTAGATGCACCCGAAGTGTGGACGCTTTCTTGCGGAAGAAAGCTCTGATGGGCATTTTAGCCATAGGGCTTTCTTGCACAAGAAATCCCTGCTGAATGTCCACACTGCCCCCTTCCGCAAGAGCTCTTGCGCAAGAGGGCTTACTCCTGTCAAAAAAGAGTGTCGCTCTTGTGCAAGGTGCCCCCTCTTACCACTCTGTAAATTTACTTGAGCAAGAGCGGGCGGGCAGTGTGGACGCTCTGCAGATTCTTGCGCAAGAATGGCTGTACTTGCACAAGAAGCTGCGAGTGTAGACATAGTCTAACAGTTCCAGTCCTCCCTGGATTTCCCTTTCAGTCTGTATCTCTGAGTACACCAGCCTTCCCTTCCTCTGCTACTGGGAGTCTCCTTCTTGGACCTTACCAGAACTGTTTCTTTCAGGAGATGCAAAAAACATTGTTTGCGCTACCTTATTCACTTGTACCTAATTCACTTCTATTCTTTTTTTTCTTTTTTTTTTTTTCCTTTTGAGAACATGCTGGATGGCACTGTTACTGCAGTAAGTCAAGAGAATCAGAAGGGGGCAGTTTAGATAGGGAACCTGGACATCTGAATTCTAATGCATCTCCTATATTTTCTGTGACAAAGGTGGGGCTCAAGTAGAAGAGGAAATTATCCCATAACACCTGGTCCATTCCACACTGTTGTGTTTTGTTTCTGATCCAACATGGTTCAACACATATCCATCCTGACATAAGTATTAAATAGAGACTGCAGGATTTGGCCAAGGTTTATTAGTTTCCCTTTTCTGAAAATGATTCTCTGTAAAAATCGATTCACATGTTGAGTCATTAAGATTGAAGGAAATGTTGTATTGCACCAAAATATGTGCATGACAAAGAGGTAACTCACAAAACTGTTTTCTGTGCAGCTGCTCTGTGAACTTCACCCACATCTCTGGGGAAGTAGCCTTCATCAGCCTGAAATTCTGCCTCACATGTTGGTCAGTACCACCATTCTTTTGTACCAGCCAGAGCTGCTTTGTCAAACTCAGAAAAGGGTGTTCAGTGAAGTGAAGCTGCTCCTGAAAAGCTTTATGCACAGTTAGTGTCCCACAGTTATCCTTCTCTTTCCAACTTGCCTCACAGTGCAGAGGCTGGCCTCCAAGCCATCCAGATTTATGATTCCAAATACATGTTGTGCCATGAGCAGGGGCAATCCAGACAAGAGAGGGCAATATCACCCCTGTCCTGCAAATTTGGATGCTCTACAATGTCTGATCGCTGTAGCCCCCACCTGAGCTATCTATAAGTATGTATATATATAAGTTATTCCTCCTGGGGCTCTAAATCGAGATAGCATGTCTACATTAGGGAAGCCTGTTGGACTAATTTTGAGGCTTTCCTGCAGCATAGATGTGCTAGTTTTAAATAAATTATTTAAGAATAACTATTCTAGAATAACTAATTCTGAAATAAATGTGCAGTGTAGATGTAGCCAGAGACTTGGGGTATTTACCCCTCACTTCTATAGTTCATTTCTGCCTTGAAAATACAAGCCTTTGCCATGAGAGCAATTTCTAGTACAAGCTCTTTCCATCTGAGAGCCAGGCAGCATGAAGTCTCCTGGGCTGTGTCTAGACTGGCATGATTTTCCAGAAATGCTTTTAATGGAAGAGTTTTCTGTTAAAAGCATTTTCGGAAAAGAGCATCTAGATTGGCACCAAAAAAGCGTCCGTGCCAATCTAGACGTGATTTTCTGCAAAAAAATCCCCCATCGCCATTTTCATGATCAGGGCTTTTTTGCGCAAAACAAATCTGAGCTGTCTACACTGGCCCTTTTGCACAAAAGTTTTGCGCAAAAGGACTTTTGCCTGAATGGGACCAGAATAGTATTTCCGCAAGAAGCACTAATTTCTTACAATAAGAAGTCAGTGCTTTTGCAGAAATTTAAGCGGCCAGTGTAGACAGCTGGCAAGTTTTTCCAGAAAAGCGGCTGATTTTCCGGAAAAACTGCCCAATCTAGACACAGCCTTTGGTAACAGCACTTAGTTTGTTCTGATGAAAGTCTGACAACGATTTATCCTGCTCGGAAACTTCTTTGTCCAGCCCAGATGTTCCCCCAGAGATAAGCAGACTTTATTAAAAACAAAAAACAAAGAAAACATAGTCCACGCAGATATTAAGAGGGAAAAAATGAAAGCTAGAATGACACAAACAGAACTCTTTTTTGAAATGCCTACTAGCTTTCCATTTTACCAAGCCTAGGAGCATGATCAACAGCAATTAGCATGACAACCTGATGAACAAAAACTTTGGAGACCCTGAATTCATAAAGAGCTCAGCTTTCTTGCTTAGGGTCAGGAGATGATCTCATCTTCAGGGAGTGAAACAATGAGGTTTCATTTATTCCATATTTTTCATTGGCGTTATCACTGGATTTACACCCAGGGAAATGCAATCAGAATTGGTCTCTTGACATATAATGGGTAAGGCTGGACATATTAGGCCAGATTCCAGGCTACCTTGTGCCATTCCTGCAGCATATAAAGATTACAGTGAGAGGTGTGTGGTCTTCAGAGGTATTGTGCAGCCCCAAAGCCACCTCCTTATGCAGCCTCTGCTGGTGGAGGGTGCTGATAAAGGCATGAAAAGATGTGGCCAGAACACTTCGGCTGTGTCTACACCCCCAACCCAGCCACTTTTGCGCAAAAACATGCTGCCTGTCTACACTGGCAGGGAGTTTTTGCGCAAGAACACTGACGTTCTAATGTGTGAAATCAGTGCTTCTTGTGCAAAAACTGTGATGCTCCCGCTCAGGAATAAGCCCTCTTGCACAACTGTTCTTGCACAAGAGGCCAGTGTAGACAGTCAACATGAATTTCTTGTGCAAGAAAGCCCAATGGCTAAAATGGCCATCGGAGCTTTCTTATACAAGAGAGCATCTACACTGGCATGGATGCTTTTGTGCAAAAGCATATCTCTTGCGCAAAAGCACATGCCAGTGTAGATGCTCTCTTGCACAAATACTTTAATGCAAAAACTCTTGAGTTAAAAGTATTTGCACAAAATCTTGCCTATGTAGCCGTAGCCTTCATGTTTGGGGATTCTTAACTCCAGGAAAACCTATTGGCAGCTTCAGTGAGAAAGCCAATGAAAGAGTTATGCAAGGGCAGTACCTATTCCAGTAACAGGTGGGTTCTGTTTGAGCACATAGTGGTCTACCTACCTACACAGAAGGCCTCACAGGCCCTCAGAGCCCAGGATTTAGGAGATATAAAGGGGGCTTAACATCCATTTTTCCTGGAAGGTGTCGTGTGCCATGCCTCTTATGAGCTGTAGCACAGAATCTTGCTCTTATCTTTTAGTTGCAGCATTTCCTATTAGTATGAGCGTGACCATTTAGTGGTTATGACCAAACATTTCTGTTTCATCTCTGAATACTCACTTTCTACATCAGTGTCTCTCAGTCTTTCCAGATACAACAATCCCTTGTCAGGAGTGATTTTTGTCTTGTGTACTCCAAGTTTCACCTCATTTAAAAATTACTTGCTTAAAAAACCTAGACATAAAATACAAGAGCGTCCTAACACACTAGTCTTGAAAAATTGTTTACTTCCTAACTGTCATATAATGGTAAAATCAATTAGAGAATAAAAATACTGTATTTGCATTTCAGTATATCATATATAAAGTAGTATAAACAAGCCATTTTCTGTATGAAATTTTAGTTTCTGCTGACTTCACTAGTGCTTTTTATGTCATGTGTTATTAAACTAGACAAATATCTACATGAGTTTATGTCCCTCCCTGAGAAGATTTCTGCATTCCTCAACTGAGAACCACAGCACTACATCATCCTAGAGAAAATGTATGCTGAGATGCTAAAATAGCTTTTAGCTTTCCACAAAGATATGTACCCTGTTCACTCTCTGCCCTCTCACATTCCTGTCACAGTTACATGAAGGAAGCAAGACACTCTGTGTGGGTGGAGAGAGATAATGGGGGCTTTAAACACAACAAAGTTCAGGACGAATTCCATGCAGAAAACATACAATCATTTTGAGGACCAGGTAGTGTTAATTCTAATCCATACTTTCTTTATACTTGGAATTCCATAGGCACTGAAGCTGTTTGGGATCAAATTCTTAGGGCTTGTCTATATTAGAGAGTTTGGCCACTTTAGTTAGATCCGCATGCAGCCCCATAGTGCAGACCCAGACTATGTTACACTGCCAGTTTCAGCACTAACATTTTAGTAATTCAGAAGTGTGAAAAAACACCCTTGACCCAGTGACAAAAATTTTAGCACTGAAAAGCGCCTGTGTAGATAAAACTCTATTGCTGGGAGCCACATTCCTGGCTATAAAGCTATCACCCCTCATATGGGGGGGGATGCTGGCAAAGCTCTTCCCTAGTGATAAAGCATGAAAACATTGCCCACACCATACATAGCACAGCAGAGGCAGTGCTGCCAAGGCTGTAATGCTGTAATATGGGTAGTGCAGACATATGCTCAGTTATATCAGAATAAAGGTTCTTATAGTAACATAGCAAGTCTCATATGAGCAAGGGAATAAGGTACACTATTAGAAGTAATCTCATACCAGTTAACTCCATCCCCATTAGAATTTTTACTAGTGTATCTATTTTGCTAAAACACCAAACATCTGATGGAAATAGATGAACTGATCAAACTTTGGACCAAGGTCTGGAGTGAGTGATTAGGGCAGTGGCCCTGGGAACCAATTTCTAGGGGATGTAAATCTGTACCTGGGCTGCGTGTGTATACCAAATCAACCAAATTTTGCTCTTTGCTGTATTTATTGCTCATCATTTGTAGGAAACCAAAAAACCCAAACACCTAGGGCCAGCCTTAAGAATAAATCACTATTTAAAATCTTTCATGATTGTAATATCGCTAGCTGAACCTCTATACTTAATCTGCTTGTAAAATTTGAGGTGACATTCTTTAACTAGCATGCACATTTTCAGATTTTCAGACAGTAAATGCAGCATAGCTATTATAGATTGTTATCATTATTACTAATATATTGCAAATCACAAGCCAAATCAATTAAGGAAGTAAAATTCTTGGTTAAAGAAACAAACTCTGTAATGAAGCACTGATCAATTGTTCGACCTATTAAAAATGGAGGATTAACTGCAATGAGCAGCAGAATCATATGAGGGACAGAAATAAAATACCAGCCCCACAAGTCATAAAAAAAAGTAGGTGAATAATCTGAAAATTCCAGGTACAAAACAAAAAGGAAATGGGTGGAATAAATGTATGCCACAATGTAAGCTGTAAGTTTTCTGTATAGTGAGCTCTGGACGAATAGAAGAATTCCTGTACCATAGTAAAGACTTCATTCTACTAATAGCATCTACACTTAAATGCTGTTACAGGGTTCAATTTGAAATGAGGGTGCTATGTAGATTTTTGATTAAACTCTTTTAGTCAGAAGAAATAATTCACAGAGTGAAATTTTTTTCATAGCAATAGCACAAAATTGTGCCATACACAGCAATTTTCTTTAGGAAGGATCTTTAAAAAAATGTACTCAATGTATACAGTAACATTCAAGATTCTAATGGCATGAGACACCTGTAGAATGGAAAGCAACAGCTGTTGTGAAGTACCTTACGTAACAATATAGGATAGGACAAGAGGAATACTAGATCTAAACAAAACTACAGGAGAATTCAGGTAATCAGCTCTGTGCTATATTAGGACATTGCTTCCATACAGTTGCCAAGATAAGGAAGCTATATACAGATTTCAAAACATGAATTTCCTGCTTTATTAGTGTTTTTTTCTGCTGAGTGTCCAATCTATATATTTACATTGGCCTGATCCTAGCATGTGAAATCTGAAGGGAACACAGTTAAGAGATAAGTTGGGACTCACGTTCTGAAATGAGGGAGGTGATGGCAGCCCTGGCTTGATGTAGTTTCCAACATACAGTTTTGTTCAATGGCTTACAGCACTGCCTTTAAGAAAACTGTTCCAACA